AAAAGAGCTTGAGAAAAGAAGAAATAGCAGGGAAAAAATCCAATGTGGTCGGCACTATCGCATTTGTAAACGCTTAGGAAAAAAAAAGTCTGTTATTTTCCTTGACACAGCGTTCCAGTTGCCTGCGATGATGACTGCCTCAATTTCAGTTAATCGTCATGCAGTCGCTGTACACCGATGACAGTGTCGGTGCTCGCATCAACTCCGAGCTTGTTGGCTGTGTACACGCTGCTTCTTTGATCTCTGTGTCGTAGGATCCTCCGTAACATGATGTATGATTTCGTCATCGGTCAATTCCACTCACAGCTCGAGGTCTTTGACAGCTTCGGCGAAGCCCTCAAGGATTATTTTGGCTGGAATTGAAACATTGGCAACGTGCAGATCGTCGAAAGCAACGTCCGCGGGTGAAAGTTCGTCGCACGTGCTGTCTACTGCCGGCGAGGCGGCCAGCTTGGCTCGCATGGTGAAAACAGTTCGAGAGGGTCTGTTGCGTAACATTCTTCCACGAGTCTGCAAGCATGTTAACGAGACAGACCATAAGTCAACAATGTAGCTTTTCTTGATGTCGAAGCACAGGCTGCACTGCATCATAACAGCAATAACAGCACCATGTGGCCTAGGCTATGGCGGGCAATGGTTTGGCGTGCGCTGGATTGCGGCATTTTCGGTTTCGATGGCACGGCTGCCGCGGCGTTATAGGTTCTAGGGTCCAGACAACCAAAATGGCGGCATCGATAGTGACATGTCTGCAGTTCGAATAAAAAGTCCGGAAAATCAGATGGCGAAAGCTATAAACGTCTGGAGTTTTAGACATTGACTCTATGAGGAACTTGGCGGTGCCACAGATGAGTCCAGGAAATCAGGCACGTATGGAATTTCGGGTGTCTCGGGCATCGGACATTGACTGTACTTCAGTTCATCCATTAATCTTGCACCACGTGAACAGAATCCATGAATCTTATTAAGGTGGCGTTTATGTGCATTACTTATTATGCAACATTACATATGTTCTAACAGCAAAGCTGTTAGTCAAATTATCAAGACTGCGGTTGTGCTGCAAAAAGCTCACCGTACTGTTGCCGAGCAACCGCCGAGCATCGCACGGGCTCTGCGATGGAGACCGTTGAACCATATAAACTAAAAATAAAAAATAAAAATCACTTGCACTGGTGAACTCATGGCCACAATGGCAACAAATTGTAATGTTGTAATCATAATAAATGTCACAAGCGCTCCTTCATATTTTTGTTACCCCACTATTACGCATGTAATGCTACCTTGTGCAAACCTCTCCTGAATGTCTATGAACCATCTAGATCATCTTTGAACCTTCCGGTGACATTACGTACACAACGCTTATATTAGAGTTTGTTCTAAAAATTTATGTGGAGTGTGTTCCGAAACTTGTGCGGCCGCTAGCAATAACGCTGTAATCTCGATGGCACAAGTATAAAAGCCTATGTATTTCACTGCCTGGCAGATTATCGATTGCCAACACTGTTTGCTGCTATCAGTCTACATCGTGTATTGCTTGGAGAGTGACGTTCCATATTCCTGGCACAGGTTTGCCCAAATAAAGAGCTCACTCATGAAAACAGAGGTTGCTGCTTTCATCAACACCACAACCCCATGCCAATGTGAAGGATGACATCCAACTCTTTTGGGTCCGACATCGCGACATTCTACAAAACGCTGGTGTTAGAGAATAAGTATGGCCGCTACAGGGAGAAATGCTCTTATCGCACAATCTCTTCCCGTAGGCGTATAAAGTAATGAATGGCCGCTAAACTTGGCAGGCAGACGACAAAGCGAGCGTTCCCTCAGCCACTTTTATGTTGTCTGTTTTTTTTTTTTTTGTTTTTTTTTTTCCGCTGTTTGGTTGTGCCATCAAGATAAGGAAGGTTCTAGCGGCGAGAGGACAAACGTGTTTGTCCTCTCGCCCAAGTCCGATCGCCCAAGTTTTGTCGAATGGCGATCGCGGTCTAGGCACCTCCGAAGGGCCAACTGATTTGAACGTCGGCAGCTCATCAGTCAGAAACGCACAGATTGGTGGTCCGACGTTCGTAATCGGCGGAAGCTCGGCATTGTGGCTTTTACCGGGGCACGAAGACGCCACATGTCGCATCTCTGCACAGACCCGAAGGACAGCGGTGCTCCGTAGAGTTATCAGCCACGCTGCGCCCAGCACATAGAAACAGCAGGGCGTCTTGGCGCTGCTCCTTATCTCCACAAAATGAGGCGGCTGCCTTTCTTCCGTTCTGGCGGCCGTGGCAAAAAGGTGGCTCGCTAGACGCAACAGTTGCCAGCCTGACAATTAGTTGCTTTTGCATTAATTGCTTCGCCCTTCTGCTGAAACTGTCGTTTATAACTTAATGTCAGCGTTCAGAAAAGAAAAAATAGGATGGCATTAACAGTTTTCAAAAAAAAAATTGGAGGGGCTGTCCAGGTTCCAAAACAGGCTGGCAAAGGCAGGTGCACAGGACTACTCATCAGGCGCATGCGCATATTCTCGTTCATTTGGCCGCTGTGCTTGGCACTTATCGACTCGGTAGTTGACGCTTGTGCGTTCAGGTTAAAGAAAAAAAAAAGGTGGCAGTACATAATAATAAAAAAGTCACAGTTGCACCACAAGGGCGAAGCAGTGAAGGCGTTAGTAGCAAATTGAAGTGGTATATGAAGTGAGACTGGCAGATAACTTATTAAGATCCGATGTCGTGTAACTGTACAGAACGCTAGTGTACGAGATTGTGGCCACTTCAAGGGCAGTACATTGAAGTATATGTGAGCCGCCCGCTAATAGGTGCCGAGTTAGTGTTCATGCCAGCGACCATTACCACGCCCTTAGAAGCAAAGGTCATGGTTTTTAGTTGAGTGGACACCCCGCCCCCCTGCTTTTTTTTTTCATTCTCTTGCAAGACGGGCAGAGTGTCTCCGAGGCGGGGAATGTTATCGCACGCGCCATGTCAGTGACGAAGATGGACCAGATAGTTTGGTCTGCTTTATGCACGTTTGTCGACCCCACTCGCACACTTTTACCCATGTTTGGAACATACAATGCGCAGGGTATGTTACCGTATTTACTCGCTTAATCCTCGCACTCGCATAATTCTCGCACCCTCCACATCGCCCAACAAAAATACTTCTTTTTTTTCCTCAAGTAATTATCGCACCCCCAAAAACTGCCGCAATAATGTCGTCTGCTCGTTCCAGCCACTGATGACAATAGCGCGTGTCTTCTGGCGCCATCTCTTAAGCATCAATCGTACTATTACTGCACGGAGATTTGATTCACTCCAAGCCAAGCCAAAGTGGCAAGTGCGCGTTGCGGCGTGTTTTGTATGTTAACAGTGTTGGTAATCTTGTCACGTTATGGGGTGATACTGAAGCTACACGGCTGCTTTCAAGTTGAAAGTGATAGATCATGCACTAAGCGACAACTGGGGCGCCGGTAGGCCCTTCGGAGTCTACGAGTTTTGTGTTCGCTAGTGGTGACGGCAGCTGAAAGCCACCAAGACGCGTTAGGCCTGCCGTGTGCCTAAAACTGGAATTGATCGTAAACTTTATTTCTTCAGAAGGAAACTGTGGACGATTCTATTAAATAGCCATCAGCTCAATACTGACGTCCTACGCTTACCTTTTGAGGGCTCCTGTTGCGGGACGAATGGTACCGCTACGGCCACAACCACAAGCTTTGCGTATGGTATTCCAATTCTCGACTATTTGCTTGCACTTTTAGTGTCTCAAATAAATCTTGCCTTGTTTTGAACCAGTGCTTTTAATGTTGAGGTAAGTTTTAATTAGTACTTGTCAAAGCTTGCTCTTAGTTGCTGGTGTGAGAATCCCGATTTGCAGCCCCTTCGTTTTGTTTTTCGCACTGTACGTTTTCGTGGAAAGCTTTCCCCGCGTAATTCTCGCACCCCCCATCTTTGCATCGGTTTTCCCCCCAAAAAAAGTGCGAGGATTATGCGAGTAAATACGGTATCAATTTGATTTGCAATTTACACGGCACATGACGGCAACAGCAAAAACCCATTTAGAGTGACCATATAGTTTCTATTGCAATGTTAAGGCTATTGCACAATTCAGCTCAGTGTTCGAAAACTGCGGCATGGAAGAAATGTTGATTTACAAGTGTTGTGAACGGGCTACTTCTGCTTTCAACGTTCTTATGCCTCAAAACTTGCTTGAAAAGGCCCTTCTGGCTGCTCCAAAAATGTCTGTGTTTAGAAAACGTGGTTAACGATTTAGAGTACTCGTTACTCTATTAGGGGAGAGCAAAACGCAATCTTGTGGGCCTCACATTTCATGAGGCCGCGTTGACAAAAATTACAATGGCAGCACACTGCCCCGCTCACTGTTGACACAGGGAGCATCTGTCTTTCTGGCTGCTCCAAGCCTGCTACAAAAAGCACTTTTTCCTGCTCCCAGGACGGCTTTTGAACTCATGTACCTTGTTGTTCCACACCTGTGTAAGGTTTAATATGTATATCAATTTGAGGCAAGTCTGGTCGCTTGATCAGCAATGCTTAGTAAAAACCGCTAAAATTTTTATGTTGACCAGAAAGCAAAAGTTCTAAGTAACGGTGATGTGTGACCCGAGAAATCTGCTCCAAAACTAAATTTTGATGCCCCAAAATACACGTTTTGGTGCTTTAGAGCTGCTCCAAAACTCGCTTTTTGCTGTGCCAAAGCTGCTCCGAAACTGCATTATTCCTGTTCTCAAAGCTGCTCTAAAAAACTGAAGCCCGCCTCCACCCCTGTGTATGCCAATTTGACCATTTTTGTAAGTCACTGGCCTTTAGAGTTTCAGTCTGTAAAAATCTGGTTAGCAGCCAGAAAAATGCCATACCAAGAAAAGCTGTATAGATTTTCGAGTGTTTCTATATGTCTCCACCAGATTGGTTTTCTCTTACTGCTTCTCACTGACCTAATTGAGGAATCACAACATGCATTTAATTATTTCATGATTATAAATGGTTGCTATGTTTCTTCCCTGCCAGAGGTAGCTATTCTCATAGCACTCGATCTGATCGACCACATGGCGGTGGCTCTGAAAGGGAACCACGCTGGAGGGAGCACCGCTTCCAAGTCGCCCCACCTCCAGCTTCAAATCGTTCACGACCTGATGAATGGCGAGATCCATGGAGGAGGTTAGTGCTACCCTTTGGTGAAACAAGTAAAACGTTGGAACAATAAACAACATAGAAAGGTCCCATTGCAGTGCTTTTTGGAGATTGTATTATAGGGACACTAAACATAAAGGCTGGCAAATTGTCCTTTGAAAACTATTTTCAATAGTTTTATGCCAAAACTTAAGCACCTTCGATGCGGTGTAACACAATTTAAAACTTTTGTTCTTTGGCTCCATGAGGTCAGTGAAACTTCTTGAAACCTTTTATGCTAGATCTGTGGCTTCTTTAAAAGAGCACGCTGCGATTCCTACATTCGCTGTCCACTAAGGCACCACCGTACTCACGCCGTAGTCAATCTTCGGTCAGCCAGTCTCATTGTGGCGTCAGACTCATTACTACTTCAGGGCTGTAGTTAACCTCTATGCTACAAAAAGGGATGAGAATACGCAGATTTGCAGGTGCAGGAGATACCACTTTGGTCGCAATTGCATTAAGATCTGTGACTGCTCGGTCAGGTATGCATGACAATTACATTTTAGCATATTGCATACTAACGAAGTTTTGCTGTGGTAAAATAATTTGTCCAATAAATCATCAGCATCTGCACAAACCAAGAGAAGATCCGAGTTGTGTTGTCTGCTTGCTATGTGCTGAAATAGAATACCAACATGCCCAAAGTTATGTACTGAATATAGAGTATTACTACCTAAATATAATACTGTGGAACCCCAATGATATGTTTTTCAGGGGCCCACTTATAAATATGCAAGAACCAGGAAATACAAGAAGCCGAGAAATACTAGAAAAAATTGAAAAATTGCTGTTGCAGTGAAAGGCATGCAATTTTGTTTCAGTGCCTGCGCATGAAAAAAAATGAATAAACTGCGGCATTGACTGGTGAATTTTTTTTTCACTGCTAACCAGAGCAAGGCGAGCTCCTGCGATTTTGTGTGCCTTTTGCTATAAACTTCAATGTCACTGTTAAAGGGACACTAAAGTCAAATAACAATTTACGTCATATTGAAAGCTCAATGTATGACAACATTTAAAATGACAGTATTATCAACAATAGTGCCCTACTTACCGAGATATTAAGGTAAATGCACAAGGAACACAAGCACCACAGTAGGACATTTTCAAAATAATGCAGATGACATCAGACAGACCGCCTACAATTAATCACTAGTGATCGATCTAACTGCACTAAATAAAGCATCTGCAATCTCGAAGGTAATGGCGGGAAATTGATCAATGGCCGTTGTTGCTGCTGTGGCTCCCGCTGCTTTCGGTCTGCTGCTACTAGTGCAGTAAAGCATGGCAACGTGCACGGCAACAGTGACGTGAGTCGGTCCGGTCAGTCCGCTTCTTGAGGCGAGTAGAAGTGTGCTAACCCCATGCGTACCTCTAAAACGTGATTTTATTTCAAAATAGGCCCTTCCTTGGCACAAAAGTAACACTACGAGGTTTCTGGACCGCCATTTCAACAATAAACGTCGACTTAATAGTTGACTAGTATCTATTTAAGGGGGCAGACTGGTCTCTCTCAGTGGGCAGTCTTTTTGTTTATTTCTTCAATGATCTTGCTCAAACTGCACAGGATTAGGCAGTTTTTTTCTTCTGATTTCAAATATTTAATTAGTTTTCCTGTAACTCACCTTGTTCCTGAGATAACTTAAGTTCACCCCCTATTGTTTAAGGCCGCCATAGAAGAAAAATTGCTCAATTAAAACTGATATTTAAGATATGCCAACATAGACTGATGACTATACATTGAAAGTATGCAAGGGGTTTTTTTATTTGGGCCTTTCTAGGTTATTTTACAGCAAATAGAACTATCCATTTTCAAAAGAAGTTGCAATTGTGTTAAAATTTTGATGAGTAATAATTAAAAAGGCTTGTGCTCTAAATTGTGCTCCCATACTTGCATTCTGCACACATACAGGTTTCCATTGCAAAAATAATGATGTATCTGCCCTAGCTTCAGAGATATTGTGGCCTCAAAACTGAACAGTCATAAATTTACTTTTTTGAGAAAAAATGGAAAAAACTGAAAACTCACAGCTTTTTCAAAAAGCAACAATTATGTCGCACATGTTTTGCAATGCTCATAAAGGCGCTAATAAATTTATAGCAGAGCTTCTAATAAAAGTCCCGGCAAATTATAAAGAAGCCTTGAGGATTGCTCTCCTTTTTTTTTTTTTTTTTTTTTTGCAGGTTCTGTGTGCTAACAGCACCAAGAATCTGGACAGTTAGAATAGCATTACAAAAAAAAATTACCACTTCCTGGTGTGTGAAAATTTGCTCAAAGATAGAAAAATACTTGCAGAAACCAAATATGTCAATTTCAAAAAAATTAATTTTTTTGTCGCTTTTTGGTCCCAAAAACCACTCTGCCCCCTTAAGTATATCTACTGCCTTTATGGCAGGTAAAAACATTGGCTGTGGTACGTGGGCCAGTATTCTTGACTGACCATTCACGCCTATTCTTTCACTTCGTGACATTTGCTGGCTTTGATGCAAGTCCATGTCAGGATAACACTGGCAACCAAAGCCAGTCTCAAACGGCTTACTTTTGCTAACAGCACGCATAACCAATTTAGAAGCCAGGTGATGTGCTAGATGCCATGTTTTGATAGCAAATACAGATCTCTATGTTAATGGTTTTGCTGGTAGGAGCCAAAAACATGTCATTGGTGGCATCTACACCACATTATATGGCTGATCTCATAATTAAGAATGGCCAAGCTACTTGAGAAACCTAGAAGGCTGCTCACCATGGTCACGTAGACCTGCTCTGATGGCTAGTTTGGGATGTATCACATAGAAACCATCCTACTGTCGTGAAGGAATAGCAAGGTTTCCAATGCATAGGATCCTGTGAGTGCTATGCAGGCTCTGACCAACAACAGTGTAGCCGGAAAAATGATGCACTTGTAAAGTAATAGCATGGTTCTATTGTATCTGCTTCTTGAATGTCCAATTATTCATTATTTCAAGGCTGAACTGTAATATTTAGCTTTGCCTACTGCCAAATGCGATGTCTAAACAAAATTTCATCGCAATATATCGTAGTGGTGCCAGAAAATTGTAGGTTCAGAACGGGGCTGTTTTGTCCTCTATGCAAGAAACTAAAGTTATGTTTGGCATTCTTTTAGAATGCATAGTGAACAGTGAAAATTTTTAAGTTATTGAAAATTTGAATTTTTTAATGTCTTTTGATTACTTTCATAGTTAATTGATGCCCCATGTGTATAGTGTAGGTGACCCTATCTAAGATAATAAAGCCAGTCTATGATAATAGTGTTCCTACTGAATCAAGGCAGCATCTTTAAATAAGCAGTGCACTTGTTCAGTAAGGACAATGTTTTTAACTATATAACTAAATTATTTTTGTTTTTCTCACTGCAAATTAATTTTTGCTGTCTCTGCAGGTCAAAGACTCCAAAAGGTCGAAGGAGTAGATCCAAAGGTCGTAATCGGAGGTCCTTTTCAAACTGTTCCTCCCGATCACATTCATCCCGGTAAGTTTCACTTTCTGCTTTCTCACCTGTAACACACTATTGAGATCTCATTGGGCCCTCTATTTACCTGTCAACTTGAAACCTTCAGGTCATCAAGGACATCTGACAGTCGCTCTCGCAGCTCTTCTTCTCGAAGCTCTTACACCAGTTATGACAGGTGAGTTCATATTTATGTTATAGCTGTGCTGGTGAGTTTGAGAGCTTTCTGCAGTGTTTATTTATGCTAGTGTCATTAGGAGCAATAGCAGATACTTCATTTACTTGTCCAATTTTCTCACTTTTGTATATATTATTATTGCTTGTGTAATTTGGTAAGGGGGTTTGCAAATTATGTGAAAATTTTATGAACTTCATGAGTAATATCTACTAAAGTAGGCTAAAACCACATACAGTCGAGCCCGCTTATAACGAACCTGAGCGTGATGTGGCATCCGTTCGCTGTATCCCGAAGTTCGTAGTAAATGAAACGCGCTTTTAAAAAAAGTTGCGAGTGAAAACACAAACTTTTTGCCCCAAAAAGTCTGTGATGCACGTGTTTCGAATAGCAGAAGCGATAAGGGTGGTCTTGAGTTCATTTAAAAAGGCAGGGCGCTCGTTCACCGAGGCCCGTGGCATAAGCTGCATGAGGCACTAGCTCCCAAGTTTCGTCCTTCTCGCAATACGATTCCTCCAAATCATTCTCGCCACGTACTTCATTCACAATGCCCCAATCAGTGCACGGTTCCGCAGTGTCGGCATCATCATCGGCCGTAATTAAACCATCGCAACAGATGTCCCACCCGCTCTCCCATGTCGGAGTCGGCGACGCGCTGCCACAAATCGCCGCCGCAGTCGTCGTGTTCAAAAACGGCCTCGCGAAAATAGTTTCGCGCGCATGCAGCCGTCACCGCCGCCCACGAAATATTCACCATCTCCACAGCTGAATACCCGGATGCCTGAAGCGGAAAGTTGGCTGCCAGGTGGTCGACAGCTATGAGCAAGCGCTACGCAACGTGGCACCTAACGCGCGGATTACGCTCAAGCCAAACGGTCACACTTTTGACATTTTGTTGAGAGGCAGGAAATAAAAAGAAGCTTGTTAGTCCTCCCTGGTGCCATCCTGATCGCACACGCACACCAAGAGCGAGTAAGACGCACACAAGCGACACACATGTCAGAACGCGTGGAACAGCTCTGGACCCGTTTCCAGTCAGAAAGTGAAACTAATTCGAGCCAGCATGGCAGGCATGGCGGGCGACTGGTTGTTGTTGTGCGATTCTAGAAAGAGGAAGAAGGCACCTAATTTCTGTCAGCCCCTTGGGCGACACGGCGCAGTGCCTATAGACTGGTAGGTGTTCTCTGGCGTCGCGGAGCGGTGGAGAAAGGCGAAGGGGTTGTTAACAAGAGAAGAGAGCAGACTTGCGAGAGAAGGGCAAGGAGTTGCGATAAAGAGAGAGGAGGATGTGGCGGGAGGGCAACCTTGACAACCAAAACACACGGGAAGGAGGCAGGTTGGGTAGCTTGCTTGAAAGGTCCGCGAAACTCGCACATAGAAAAACTTAGAAAGAGTGCATTGCCGTCTGAATCGGTGCGTGTGGTGGTGTTCGAAGAATCGGCAGCCGTGGTCAAAAAATTGTTTCGTTGCGCTGGCGGGTTTGTGTGGCCTCACGAACTTCGATATTTCACGATTCGTTCCGCGCAAATTAACAGCCGTTTTCGCGCTTTCGCACGCGCGCGGAAGACATGCTGAGTTTAGTGTGAAGTGAGCGAGAACAAGTACTACACACGAAACGAATCGTGAATTATCAGAGTCGGTGGGGTAGCGTACGTGCGTGCACTAGACGCAGACTAATCGGATACAGTTGGTGGCCGACGATGTTGGCAAATGGTCTGGTCACTCCAGGCCGGCGACGCCAACGACAGTAGCAGTGATCAAAAACACGGGAGATGGCTGACCAGTCTTCGAAAGATTGGTGGCAGTGGGAAAACACGGGCCTCGTCTGGCGATGCGGGGTGCTCAGAGTAGCGGGCGACAAAGGACGGAGGGGTGAGTAACAAAAAGTGGTCAGGGAGAGCGGCAACTAGAAGGGCGCGGAGGCAGGGTCGGCGTTTAACAATAAGAATGTATGGGCATCTCGCTGATGCCTCATCGGTGGTCGAAATTGGTTTTACGGCAATTCGGCAGACTGCCGACTCCGTTCGCTGCAACCGATCAGCGGCGCTTGAAGACGTTCCTTGTAAGTGCGATTTTGTGCCATAGAACCAATGTATATTTCCACGGTCACGCTGATATTGTTCGTTTTAAACGAAAGTTCCTTTTAAGTGGGGATGTTATATGTGGGCTCGACTGTAATTAATAGATGGTTTGTTAACCATTGAATTTTCGCTACTGGTGTTTGGGAAAGTTAGAGAAGTTCGAGCTTCAAACAAGCGATTTGCTTAACTCCTTGTCCACAATTTAAACCTGGTAGAGTCCTGTGCTTTATTAATACGCAATTGTTGTATACAAATGTATGGTCATGCTGCCAAATGTCTAGACTGCTTGGCACACAGTTGCATAACAGGGCAAAGGATCTTTAGCGTTTTCAAGGGCATCAAATGAGTTGCTTTGGCAGCTTTTGAAGCATATTGCTCAATCCTATTTGGCACGCTTTGTTATTCTTTAGCAGAAACATTGTGTCAAATGTTTTATTTTTCACTGTTTGCTATGCTCTTAGTAAGGAGGACTACCTTTTCCGATTTCACAGTTGCTTTGCTTTGTGGTGCAGCCGTTCCAGGTCCCGGTCACCTGCCCGTGCTGCTGCTTCAGCTGGAAGGCCACGTGGCAATCGGCCCCCATCAAAGGGACCACTCATGTAAGTTTAGCTCAGCTACGTTGTGGTTCTTGATTCAGTAGCTTTAGAATACACTAAAACAGGTAAAACATAGCATAGAGTGCTGTGCGGTCTTAATACCGCGCTTACATGATTATAAAAGACTTGTATGTAGGTCCACTTCCCCAAAATCACTCTTTAAAAAAAGCTTGAGGGTATTTTATAATACAAATTGATTTGAAGGCATCGCTGGACTGATAATTAGGCTTGTGTAAATATCATATTTACTTGCATAATGGGCACACTTTCTTAACATGAAAATGTGTTATGCCGGGGTTCACCACGGCTCTGCTGATGTACTCCCTACACGGAAGTGACGTTGAAAAATATATGCTTAGAAATTGCAGAGAAAAAAACCAGAACCACTACACCACAAATCCTGTGTTGTCGGGAATGTTAACGGCAAGGCATTTATATACGCCGTTAGGCAGTCCTCAGAGCTTCGAAACCTTTTCGTTACCAGTAGTGAGATGACGTGACATGCTCGCGTTGGGCACACTCTAAAGGTAATCGCCTCCACAGAGCGGGGTCCCTCCTGCGCACATGCTTATCAAATTAGTAATTCAGGAGAGGATGAAGGTCACCACACGACCAAGTTTATAAAAGGCGCGCGTTGCTGACACCTGGCGCAGGAAAAATTGTGACAGTTGTTCGCACTTGTCCTGTGTATACTTGTCTGCTCGTTTCGGGCGTCTTTTTTTCTGTTTGAACAGCGCACTTTAAGTGCTAAGCTGGGAGAGTTGTTCCGCGCTTGTCCTGTGTATCCCAATGTGTGCATGCTCTCTGCTTGAGGTATGTGCTGGAAGTTTCGAGCTACTTACTGTTTTTAACGTGACTTTGAAATTTGTTACTGTTGCTGAAACAATGCAATATAAACTCTCAACTGCCTCTGTAAAGACAGTGTTTCATTTTCATGTTATAATGATTCCTATATAGGTGGGTCAGCCACGTTTTTTTCCAGAAAGTGTGGCGCCACGCTCGGAGGGGGCCTATTACAAGAGGTAAAATTTCCGAAAATTTTATTTCTGACTACCCTATAGACCGCAGTGATAACCTGAGCCCAGGGTATCTATCAACCTGAAAAACCTAGAAAAGTCGGGGAATTTGGACCCTTCTGGAAAAGTTATGGAAAAGTCAGGGAATTTCTGAAAAACCTGGCCAGGTCATGGAAACTGACAGCATTTCTGTGCGACTGTCATAAAAATAAGCATTAACATTCATCAAAGCTTAAAAAGTCACTCTTTCAACTGCAACTACAGTGAGCTGCTAGAAGGCGTAGGCAAAAAAAAAGACAGTGCATAACTGTTGCTTCTTAGTGTAAACGTGAAAGGATACACAGACTCAAAGACAACAAAGTTTACTGACGTTTCAGCAGGTGATATGGGAGGGAGCCTTGTTCACAATAGAAGCCATAAGGAAAGCACTGCGTACTTAAGTACGCCTAAATACGTGATGTAAGTTGCGAGAGTGCATTGTCAGGAGTGTCCCATCACTCCTGTTCAGCATATGTACAGTCGTTTGTATCTGGATTCCAGGTGTAGGCATGATGCAAGCTTTTTTTAAATGCGGAGCATTTTATAGTCGTACAGTGGAACTTCAATTATACATCCCCTGGTTTTGCGACGACCTGCCTTTTACAACGAATCGGTTTGGTCCCGGCAAAATTCCCATAGAAACAATATATTAAAAACCTTGGTTATACGATGCAATTTTACGCCGACACCGCATCTTATGATGACTTTCAGATTCTGTCGGAAAGAAAAAACCACCTTGACTCGAATCACATGTCGACTAAATATTCACGAGTGCAAAATATGAACTTGTGTACCCCAAGGAGGACTACAGAAAAAGTACCGTAATTACTCGAATCTAACGCGCACCTTTTTTCCGATTAAGCGAGTTCATAAATCGCATGCGCGTTAGAATCGAGTACGAACAAAAAAATTACGGTCAATCTATTGCCATCGGCAAATCCAAAATGGCCGCCCCCTACGTGCGTCGGCATGGCGCGTCGGCCATTTCTGCCTATGTGTTTCCCATGTGCGGCACTTCGTACATGTGCTGAGGAGATCGTCATCTAGTAGTGCATTAGCATCGACGGCTTGGAAGGGCCGACTCCAAAAACTCGAGTGCACCACGATGCCGCTTTTAAAAGAAAAGTCATCGCGTGTGCAGAAACGGACGGAAATTGGGCCGCATGGCGGTCGTTCGGAGTTCCCGAAACGTGCGTGCGGGACCGGCGGAAACAAAAGCATAAGATTGTCGACAGGAAAGATTCACGCAAAGGCTTCAGTGGACCACAGCAGGGTCGGTTTCCGCAAATTAAAGAGCTGCTCGGCGAGTATGTGCTTAAGCAGCGAGCGGCACTGCGGCCCGTGACGACAGAACTGCTCCAAGTACGGGCTATGCAATTAGTCTTAGAAAAAGGTCTAATGCGGAGCCAGTTTAAAGCGAGCAGGTGCTGGCTAACTAACTTTATGAAGAGGAAAGGCTTTTCCCTTCGAAGGGGAACATGCATATGCGAAAAGTTTTGCGGAGGAGTATGATGAAAAGCTTTACAGTTTTCAGAGGTTCGTCCTAAACTTGCGGCCCAACAACGGCTACCTGCTTGGGCAAATCGGGAATGCCGATCAGACGCCTCTTTACTTCGACATGCCTGGCACCACAACCGTCCAGAAGAAGGGGGTGAAGCAAGTTCGCGTGCTGACATCGGTCCACGGTAAAACTACAGTGACGGCAATGCTCTGTTACACGTCAGATGGGCACAAGCTTCGCCCGTACCTCATATTTAAATGGAAGACGCGCCCGAAAGGAGTCGTTTTCTCGAGTGGTGTGATCGTGCGGGCCAGCGAGAAAAATGGGTGCGCGTTGCAATCGATGTCTTGCTTTTTTTTTTCCGCGGTGGAAATCGGGTGCGCATTACAATCGAGGGCGCGGTAGAATCGAGTAAATACGGTAGTCATCTTCATCGAATGGAAAATTTATTCTCCCGGAAGTTTATGCACTTCTACATACGCCTCAATCGCGTCCATACGTATCTGGGTTCGTTACCTAGTCAAGCTCTATCCACATAGGGTAGGTTCAGCTGACCAAAAAGCTGATATTTTCACATTTTGGGTCCGTGGAAACATTTCCTGGTCGACATATGGCCCATCTCCTGTGCCAGTCACTGGTTTGCGCACGCATAAGGGCACAACGCAGCTGCTTTCGCCGTGCAAAATTACTTTCACTTGACATCAACGTTCATAACAACTGCGAGACACCACTAGATGCACTTCACGAGGCGACAAATTACATCGCGCACAGCTCAGTCGTGCACGAATGCATCGTACATAAACTCATTGTCTGTCGCCATTATGCGATAGCGATGACATTGCGTCTGACTCTTCTGATGCGAGGCTTAGGCAACATGGCTTCGGTTTCGTTTTCACACATAGGCAATTTTCTGACTCTATTTATCGGAAGAAAGATGTGCATTAGATTTCATTATTTTTAAGACTGAGAATAGAGATTCGCTTGGACCTCCTTCAACTGATTATTGCTGCGATTAGCTACCACAGGGAAAATAATTTAATCTCTCATTGCAGAGGCAGAAGGTCGTGCTGTGGGCTTATTCAGGCAGTCTGTACCCTTTTTTCGGGCAAGGTGGAGTGTCACAGCCTATAATCTTAGTTTTTAGATTATACGACGCCCGGGTTATACGACGATCTTGCGGGGTCCCTTAAAAGTTGTATAATCAGGGTTCTACTGTGCCTCTTCGTAAATCCAGCATTGGCTGTGGTGTCTGCACCCCTACTGCGCATGCTCGCGTCCCGTGCCAACCGTCGCTCCCCCCCTCTCTCTCTCTCTCACCTCACAAGGCCGACGCAGGCAGAGTTGGCTAGCAAAAACCGACTGCTTGCTCTGCACAACCATTCACTAACCACTCCGTATATGTAGACACTGTATCGGGCGTTCGGAATTCAGTCAAGGGCATCTTTACTTGGCTTTCACATGACTTGTTACTTTGCTTGACTCGAGTAGATGCGATGGAAGCAACAATACTGTAAACCAGTAGTGGGGCACAACTCAACATCAGTGTCCCACCACTCATTGAAGGCAACGTTTCTTCTTCATTTTATAAATATGAACATAAAGACAAAATAACAATTAAACATTCCCAAACGTTACCTAATTACGCAACGTTTCCCGCGATACCCCCACCATTCCGTGACGCATTTACTCGAGTCCTTCCAGTGGGTCGATGCGGGTTTTTCTTTGTCCAGAACACACTCGTTTTACAAGTCTATTTGGTGGTCAGTAGATTCCACGTGTTCAGCGAGGCTAGTCGAGGTGACGCGTCGTTTCGTGGCGTCATGTTTGTGTTGTGTAATTCTTTTCTTGAAATCGCCAGTTTCACCGATGTACAGTCGAGCCCACAAACAGTCAACTGCAGATTTCTCAGACCCTCTAGGGAGCGAAAAACCGTCCGAAAATTCGGGCAGTCTGAAAAAATTAATGCAAGAAAAAAAAAAACGCATTATTTTACTGATAATTTTCAATGCAAGCAAAAAAAAAAACACCATTTTGCTAATATTTCTCAATGCTAGCAAAAAACGCACCATTTCATTCATATTTCTCGGATCAAGAGGGTCAAGGTCAAAGTACCAGACTTTCGGAACTCTGCCAAAGCATTAGTGGGGTGGCTCTCAAAAGAGCTGTTAAAAAAAATGCATGCAGCCGACAGCGGGTGCCGTCAGGGCAGCCGGTGTTAGAGCTGCAGTGGCTTGAAAAACTTGTTGATCCTTGTTTTAACGGCGTTCCACTTGCATGTGATCACATTCGCCTCGATCTGAGCAAGGGTCATGTCATCACTGTACACCGATGACAGCGTCATCAATGCTTGCATCAATTCGGTGGTCGTAGGTGGCGCAGGCGTTGGTTCCTCATTTTCGACATCGGAGTCGTCTGAATCCGCCATTACCTGACTCACTATTTGGTCGTCGGTTAGCTCTGCGCAGAAGTCGAGCTCGTTGTCAGCGTCGACGAACCGCTCAAAAGTTATTTCCGTGGGCATGGAAGCACCAGCAGAGCGGCGGTCGTTGATAATATAGTCCATGAGAGGGCACAAGTCAGCCACGCTGTCGTTTTCTTCAGGCAAGTCTGCTGCCTCTGTGTCGAGTACGAAGCCCGCGTGGCGAAAGCAGTTGCGAAGCATGTCTTGTGTTACTGCCTGCTTTGCGTCCGCAAGCATTCCGCGCTTCGATGCCATCGGCGAAGACGACGAAGGCAAAGTGGGCGCTATCGCAGGCAAGCGAAATCCTCAAGATGTGAACAAAGGAGTTTGCTGAAGAGCGTCGAAGCACCTAGGCTTAGCGTTGCATAGCACACTTCACACGATCGCACAACCACGCACTAGGCTAGCCAAACACCATGTGGGCTGCGTAAACAAAACGGCCGACAGCTGGCGACGGTGCCTCAGGCACTCCGGAGGTGGCGCTGGTAAACATTCAAAATAGCCAGCGTGGCCAGACCAAATCGGTGTGTGACGGTTAGTTCTAGTTCGAAGTGGTGAAACTCTTTGCAAAAGCGCTGCGCGGGAAGCCAAAGTGGCACGCACGAGCACAAGCGCTAAAGCGAAAGGAACTTTATTGGCGCAAAAAAATTTCCGGGTGGATAGTTTCGATTGTCAGTGAAGCACCCTTGCACGATTAACACGGCCAGTGTTGGGAATCTCGGAGGTCGTGTGTGTTTCTCCGCTAACGATCAACGAGTCCAAGCAACAGATGCCGCCACAGTAGACCGGTGCGCTCATTTATGCGATCGTAATCGTGTGTGATGCAGTTGTGGTGGTTTCCACTGGAGGTCAGTGGCGGTTTCCCACCTTCCGTTCCGTCAAAAAGTCCGGCAAATTGGACTCCGGGAGGTTCAAGCGTCCGAAATTTCAGACTTCCTTATACATTGATTCTATGGGGCTCGTGGCAGTGCTGCGAAGATGTCCGAATCATCGAGCATGTCTGAAAATTCGAGTGTGCGAAAAATCGGCAGTTGACTGTATAACGGCCCTACTTAAGGCGAACTTTTGCTTAAAACGAACAATATCCGCATAACCGTGGAAAGTATACATTGCTTCAATGACACAGAATTGCACTTACAACAAACGTCGCCGAGCGCCGCCGATTGATTACAGCGAACGGAGTCGGCGCTCTGTCGACTTCCCGGGAAACCACTTTCGACCACTAATCAGGTATCGGTGAGGTATCGGCTACTCTGAGCACCCCGCATCACCAGACGCGGCCCGTGTTTTCACACTGCCACCGATCTTTCGAAGACCGGTCGGCCATCTCTCCTGTTTTTAATTGTTAATACTGTCGTTTGCGTTGCCGGCCTAGAGTGACCTGACCATTTGCCAACATCGTCTGTATCGGATCGTCTGCGTCTTGTTTTATCGTATCGTTCTAGTGCACGCGCGTATACTACCTCACCCACTCGGATAATTCGCAATTTGTTTCGTGTTTAGGACCTGTTCTTGCTCACTTTGCACTCTGCTCAGCATGCACTCCGCACGTGTGCGGAAGCGTAAAAACAGCCGTTGATTTGTGGGGAACGAATCGCGAAATATGGAAGTCGGTGAGGCTACGTCACCGGCGCAGCAAAACAATTCTTTGACCACGGCCGGTGATTCTTTGAACACTGCCGCGCCCACCGATCCAAGCGGCCGTGCTTGGACCTCATTGCGCGCAGGCCCTTTTTCAAGTTTTTCTACGCGCGCGTTTCGCGGACCTTTCAAGCAAGCTACCCAACCTTCCTCCTTCCTGCGTGTTTTGGATTTCAAGGTCGCTTTTCCGCCGTATTCCCTCTCTTCACTCTATCGCAACTCCTTGCCCTTCTCTCGCAAATATGCTGTCCTCTCTGGCATGTGTGTGGCGTGTGCGCGTCTTGCTCGCTCTCGGTGTGTGTGTGTGTGGTCAGGATGGTGGGCGGGAGGCCTTGCATGCTTTTTTCTGCTGCTCAACAAAACGTCAAAAGTGTGACCGCTTAGCTTGGGCCTAAATCTGCGCATTAGGTGCCGCGTCGTGGAGCGCTTGCCCATAGCTGTTGACCACCTGGCAGCCAACTTGCCGCTTTGGGCGTCCTGGTATTCAGCTGTGGAGATTGTGAATATTTCGTTGGCGGCGGTGACGGCTAGATGCGCGCGAAACTGTTTTCGCGAATTTTCGGGCCCCTTCGAGTTCAAATTATCAAGATTCGACTGTACAAATTCAGTGAATCATACTAGCAAAAAACGCAGCACTTTATTGAGAGGCGATAAAAGCAGGAAAGTTTAAAAAGACATCATGGACTTTTTTTGCAACAAGTAGTAGTGGATCCCAATATTAGCTTTCATTAATTCGAACTTCTTTTAATTTGAACAAATTTTCGGGCCCCTTTGAGTTCGAATTATCGAGATTCGACTGTACAAATTCAGTGAATCATACTAGCAAAAACCACAGCACTTTATTGAGAGGCGATGAAGTGAAAGCAGGAAAGTTTAAAAGGACATCATGGACTTTTTTCGCAACAAGAAGTAGTGGATTCCAATAGAGTTCTTGTTCATTTTCATGATCAGCTTTATCTTGTTTTTGGTTCATACAAATTCAGGATGATACGAATATTTTGCGCGCCCCCTTCGAATTTGTATCATCCAGATTCTACCGTACATTGTTAAGAATAACCTTTATAACAAATTTTTGGACATAATGAACTTGTGGTCTTGTAGGATGCGACATTGTTAGTTTTAGTTTATATTGTTGTTTCACAACGGATGGCGTAGTGTATCTATTAATGGCACGGATTGTCTTAAAAGGGGCAATTCAGACCATCGATAGCGGCCTATAGATACCCTATGGGTGTAGTATGAAAAGAGTAAACAGCTTGCGTAAGAAGCCAAGTTAAGTTTCTTGTGGGTGACAGATATTCCAGATTTAAATGTTTCTTTGTGCCTGCAGCCAAGGGCCAGGCAAGCAGGGTGGTGGTGCAAGCGGTGGAACCAGTGGTGGCACAGGTGGTGCAAAATCTCCTATACTGGATCGTCGAAAACAGCACAATCCCTCACCTCCTCCTAGCACTACTCCCTTAAGTCCATCCCGCAAGTCCCGGAAGAAAGCACCCAGCCCTCCACAAAGGTAATTATTTTACTTACTGTGATGCACCAATTCTCAAACTGCTGAAAGTTTTGGATTTCAGCACACATATGTTGCTGTAACACCCATTACACTTAATGAGCGTTGTTGGCATCATTTGGGCCACTGGCCGGCATGATTTGCATGATTTGCAGGAAATTTTAAAGGAGTACTGACACGAACTTTGAAAATTTTCGGATTTCTGCTGTAGGTAAAAGCACTGGTATCGAGGACCCAGGAAAGAGGATTCTGGTGCCTCGAAACACATAGAATATATTTTTAATATCGCTTTTTCTAAACCCACTTTCGGTTTCGATTTTGAAAGAGTGGCTTCACAGCGACGTATCAAGTCAGGCTGACGTATGCCTCAGTGACGTGGGGACTGAGACATTCGCAAAAAGTCGTGACTTACCAATGTAGCTCCCATCATCTGCTGGAAACAGAGACGCTTGCGTGTTGGCTCTGATGCTGGATTTGCATCGCGATGTTGTGCTGAAGCAGCGTAGAGCGTGGGCACAGCTTCTAGCTCCAGATATCGCTTCTTTGGCAGCGCGATGTTGTACTCAAGAAGGTACCGATGGCTCCCGATCAGGTAGCAGTCGGGGCCGAAATGCAGCAAGCAAATCCGGCTTCGCCTAGCCAGCGTCCAGTCACAGCTGCAATCGCAACACACAAAATTTACCCACACTTGTCTCACCACTGGGTCATTCCGAAAACTGTGCATACTAACGTGACTTCTGGTCTTGGAATCACAGCCGTTGACGGCACAAGGAGTAGGTGGCATCGTGAAACAGGGATTCGGTGATCGGGAAAGCAATGAAATCGCACTCGCATCCTTTCCCATACAACAGAGGTATCTCGGCGCTTGATCACTGTCGATGTGACCACGAAGCGTGGCATCAAAATGGACAGCGCACAGCACAACTACAAATAACACCAGTCGGCGGTGCACCGCTAGACAGGCAGTCGAGAAGGGGCGCTGGTCGCGCTTTCTTCCATTTTATTTTACCCCAACACGCGCGCATTCACATGACGTGACAATTTTTTGTGCACCTGACTTAAAATGTCAAGCGCTGTGCCCGATGGTGAAGCTGCCTTGCAGGGAACCGAACCGGGAGAGGAAAACTTTAAAATAAATAAAATGTTTTATACGTGTTTCCCAGTTCCGGTGTGGGGAGAACGTTAACACTGCATTCCAAGGAAATGAAAAACGTCCGTTTTGCCGCACCTCAAAATCGTGTCAGTACTTCTTTAAGGATACAGTCAAACTTCGTGAGTGCGTACCCGCTTTAAGCGTACTAACGGTTAAAACATTGTTGCGACGAACCCCCGACCGAGTCTCATAGAGACTAATGCATTTGCGGACCGCTTAAGCCAAAGTGGTCGGCCCATGCCTTCCGGTTCATCATCATCATCATCAGCCTGGCTACGTCCACTGCAGGACAAAAGCCTCTCCCATGTTCCGCCAGTTAACCCGGTCCTGTGCTTGCTGCTGCCAATTTATACCCGCAAACTTCTTAATTTCATCTTCCCACCTAACCTTCTGTCTCCCCCTAACCCGCTTTCCTTCTCTGGGAATCCAGTTAGTTACTCTTAATGACCAGCGGTTATCCTGTCTACGCGCTACATGCCCGGCCCATGTCCATTTCCTCTTCTTTATTTCAACTATGATATCCTTAACCCCCATTTGTCCCCTAATCCACTTCGCTCTCTTCTTGTCTCTCAAGGTTACACCTACCATTTTTCTTTCCATTGCTCGCTGCGTCGTCCTCAAATTAAGCTGAACCCTCTTTGTGAGTCTCCAGGTTTCTGCTCCGTAGCTAAGTACCGGCAAGATACAGCTGTTATATACCTTCCTCTTAAGGGATAATGGCAATCTACCTGTCATAATTTGAGAGTGCTTGCCGAATGGGCTCCACCCCATTCTTATTCTTCTAGTTACTTCAATCTCGTGGTTAGGCTCTGCGGTTATTACCTGCCCTAAGTAGACATAGTCTTTTACAACTTCAAGTGCACTATTACCTATCTCGAAGCGCTGTTCCTTTCAGAGGTTGTTGTACATTACTTTCATTTTCTGCAGATTAATTTTAAGACCCACCTTTCTGCTCTCTTTGTGTAACTCCGTAATCATGAGTTGCAATTCGTCCCCTGAGTTACTCAGCTATGCAATGTCATCAGCGAAGCGCAGGTTACTAAGGTATTCTCCATTAACTCTTATTCCTAACTGTTCCCATTCTAGGCTTCTGAAAACCTCCTGTAAGCACGCGGTAAATAGCATTGGGGAGATTGTGTCCCTCTGCCTTACACCCTTCTTGATTGGTATTCTGTTGCTTTCTTTATGAAGCACTATGGTAGCAGTTGATCCTCTGTAGATTTCTTCCAGAATGTTTATATATACTTCATCTACGCCCTGATTTCGCAGTGTCTGCATGACGGCTGATATTTCTACTGAATCAAACGCCTTCTCGTAATCTATGAAGGCTATGTATAGTGGTTGGTTATACTCTGAGCATTTCTCTCTTACCTGATTGATAGTATGAATGTGGTCAATTGTTGAGTAGCCTGTTCGAAATCCTGCTTGTTCCTTTGGTTGATTGAATTCTAATGTTTTCTTTACTCTGTTAGCAATTACCTTTGTAAATAGCTTGTACACTACAGAGAGCAAGCTGATCGGCCTGTAATTCTTCAAGTCGTTGTCATCTCCTTTCTTATGTATTAAGATGATGTTAGCGTTCTTCCAAGACTCTGGTACCCTTCCCGTCAGGAGACACCTCGTAAACAGGGTGGCTAGTTTTTCTAACACAATCTGTCCTCCATCTTTCAGCAGATCTGATGTTACCTGATCCTCACCAGCAGCTTTGCCTCTTTGCATGCTCTCCAAAGCTTTTCTGACTTCTTCTATCATTACTGGTGGGGTGTCATCTGGGTTACTGCTAGGCCCCGCCGCGGTGGTCTAGTGGCTAAGGTACTCGGCTGCTGACCCGCAGGTCGCGGGTTCGATTCCCGGCTGCGGCGGCTGCATTTCCGATGGAGGCGGAAATGTTGTAGGCCCGTGTGCTCAGATTTGGGCGCACGTTAAAGAACCCCAGGTGGTCGAAATTTCCAGAGCCCTTTACTACGGCGTCTCTCATAATCAAATGGTGGTTTTGGGACGTTAAACCCCACAAATCAATCAATGGGTTACTGCTAGTTCTTATAGTATTAAGGTCGTGGTTGTCTCGGCTACTGTACAGATTTCTGTAAAACTCCTCCGCTATTTTAACTATCCTATCCATATTGGTAGTTATTTTGCCTTCTTTGTCCCTTAGTGCATACATCCGACTTTTGCATAACCCAAGTTTCCTCTTCACTGCTTTGAAGCTTCCTCCATTTTTCAGAGCGTGTTCAATTCTCTCCATGTTATACCTCCTTACATCGCATACTTTACGTCTATTAATCAACTTCGAAAGCTCTGCCAGTTCTATTTCGTCTGTTGTACTTGACACGTTCATGATTTGATGCTTCTTAATTAGGTTCTTCGTTTCCTGGGAAAGCTTGCCAGTGTCCTGTCTAACTACCCTGCCTCCAACTTCCACTGCACACTCCGTAATGATACTCGTCAGATTATCATTCATTGTATCTACGCTAAGGTTGGTTTTCTCACTAAGAGCCGAGTACCTGTTCTGCAGCAACACTCTGAATTCCTGTACTTTTCCTCTCAGTGCTAGCTCATTGATTGGCTTCTTGCGTATCAGTTTCTGTCGTTCCTTCTTCAAGTCTAGGCGAATTCGAGACCGTACCATTCTATGGTCACTGCATCGTACCTTGCCAACCACTTCCACATACTGCACGATTCCTGGGTGTGCAGTCATTATAAAGTCTGTTTCGTTCTTATTTTCGCCATTAGGGCTCCTCCATGTCCTCTTGCGGTTTTCTCGTTTTCGGTAGAAGGTATTCAAAATTCGCAAATAATTGCGTTCTGCGAATTCTACTAGTAGCTCTCCTCTGGCGTTTCTAGTGCCGATGCCATAATCTCCTACTGCTTGGTCTCCAGCCTGCTTCTTCCCTACCTTTGCATTAAAGTCGCCCATCACTATAGTATACTGTGTTTTTACCTTACTCATTGCCGATTCCACGTCTTCATAGAAGCTTTCAACTGAAGCGTCATCATGGCTGGATGTAGGCGCGTAAGCCTGTACTACCTTCATCTTGTATCTTTTATTCAGTTTAATTACAATACCTACCACCCTTTCATTAATACTATAATATTCCTCTATGTTGCCAGCTATGTTTCTGTGAATTAGGAACCCCCCTCCCAGTTCTCTTCTGTCCGCCAAGCCCCGATAGCAAAGGACGTGCCCATTCTGTAGCACCGTATAGGCCTCATCTGTCCTCCTAACCTCACTGAGCCCTATTATATCCCATTTAACACCCTCTAGCATTTAACACCTTTTCGGTTAGTGGGTACTAACTGCGTACCACGATAACATTTTGGGCAACAAAATTTTACTGCTCTGCTGAACTTGCAGACGCCACATTGTGCCGTGAACAGTTTTCCGTCATGTTGATAAGTGTAGAGATCAGCCGATAAGTTATTACGAGTTCCGCGCAATTATGGCGAAGACGCTGCGAGTAACTATCGAGGGAAGGAGGAACGAAGGCGAAGCGGCCACCACCGACGAACGCGCCGGTGTGACTTATTGTCGTAGAAAAGCCTTATCACAGTAAGCATCCGCGGTTATCTCCTCAGGCACGCGTGTGGCATGCGTCACTTTAGGCCTACTGCACATTTTTAGTGGGCGGCTACCTGAACGCGCTGGCCGCCGATCGCTGCCGCTTCGTTTTGCGGGACCGTGTTTTGCGGGACCGCTTTACAGAAATGCAAGTAGCTCGCTGTCATGGAGCTTAGCGTTGTAGATCGCGGGCACCGAGAAACCTTGCTGTATTTTGCCAACACGCGCACTGTACAGCGGGTGTAGCGCTGTTGTTACCCTGCTGCACACTTTTATTTAGTGACAGCCGAAATGCACCTCCATCCGCTACCAGGACTGCTAGAGCATCGCGCGAAACACATTGTTTGCGGAAAGCTCTTCGGCGCCGCGTTAACCCAGCAGGCTACTCGCCAAATCTGTGCGGCAAGCGAATCGGCAGTCACGGTGTGCACAGAGTGAACGAAGCGCTGCACGCAACTGGCTATGCAGGAAACAATTTGGCTCTTTGCGACTGTACCACATTTTAGAAAAAGAAAACTGCGTCAGTTTTTGCTTAGAAGGAGGCCGCGGAACAACTGTATCACGGACAGCCAATTGTGTCCGTTCTGTCCACGCAGGAAGGAAAGTTGTTTCCTTCTTCCATAGTTCTGTCGCTGTACCACGCTGCATATCGCGGATTCCGTGGTGGTTTCGAAACGCTCATTGGCATCTCAATTGCGTGCTATCGGGCGGTCCTTTGAGAGTTGGAAACATTTTGTACCTTGGCAAAAAGAAAGAAATGGCTTTGCGGTGGGCACTTTAGGCAATATTACCTGCGGCACTCCGTTTCTACTTTTGTTGGCGGCGATTGCGCATGTCAGGGGATGCAAATTTGTAACTGGTGGTTAATGCGTAGAGTACGTTTAATGCGTACTTATGCCGCCATCCCTGGCAGGTATGTATTAGCGGGGTTTCATTGTACCGTATTTACTCGCATAATGAACCCACTCCCATAATTGACCCATTCCCCACCTTGGTTCTTGAAAAAAGGAAGTTTTTTAATGTATCTGTTAATTTTATTTTGGTATGATAGCCAGTGCCCTTGACAATCAAAACACTGTTAAATCAAGTGAATATATGACAAAATAATTATGCAATAAAAGTCTGAACATTGTTTAACAGCCATGCTAAAGAGTTGCGAGCTCCGAGGACTTGATCAAAATTTAAAGGCCCCTGATGGATGAATGGATGTATCCGGCTGTGCCCTTTACTTTAGATCGGGTGGTGGCTCACGCCACCTAGCCGTAAAGTTAAGTACTATCACTGTGTGTTTAAAAATTGAATTTCACTCGCACCTCGATTGTAGCCACCAATCAGCCTCCTCCTGGTTATTTCTACTCGTTTAAAGTCTATCTTGCTTTCACTGTCCCTAAACCCCAATGCTTTGAAAAATTCGGCGTCATTACCTTCGACTAAAGCGCGTAGCCCTTTACAGAGCATTATCAAATTTTCAGCCGTTTCCTCCTCCTCTCCACATGCACTACATACCGTGTCTGTGCCTTCGTATTTTGCTCGGTACGTCTTGGTCCGCAATACTCCCGTTCTAACCTCAAAGAGCAGAGAACTACCCCGAGAGTTGTCGTAAATTTTTCTTTTGTAATTTCTTACTTGAAAGTTTGGTATGTCTCCAGTGATGATTTCGTAAGCATTCCCATCTTCCACATGTACCGCTCTGTCTTCTTCACCTTCTTCTTAACCAATGTTTCCTTTTGGCTTGGTATTCTGCTGTTGTGTAAATACTTGCTTGACAGTTTTCGAGTTCGCTTCCTCCTTTTAGTATCAACATTCTTCATGTACAAGTAGCTGAAAATTTTCCTAGCCCAACGCTCCTCTCCCATTTTTCTCGGTTGCTCCTCAAATTCTATCTTGCTGCTAGCTTCGCTGCCCTGTATCCCCTGATTTGGGGTGTTCCCGTGTGCTCCCAAAGCACGTGTACCTATGCCACGTCGTTTAATTTTCAATCTTGTTCGAACTTCTGATTTTATGCACAAGACCGCATTGCCGAACGTCAAACCCGGGGCCATGACACCTTTCCAAATACCTCTCACGTCATACCTGTTGTAGTTCCACGGTGCCCTATTTTTCACTAAAGCTGCATTCCTGGTGCTCTTAGTCATTACATATCTTTCGTGCTCCCTTAGATACTCAGGCCCGTTATTTATCCATACACCCAAATATTTGTATTTATTCACTATTTATAGCGTGACTTCTGTATCTTATGCTCATTGCCTTTGTTATCATTAAAAAACATGATTGCCGATTTTTCCCAGCTGAACTTCAAATTAACCTATCTCCCTCATTACCACAGATGTCTATCAATCCCTGCAGATCTTCCTTGTTATTGGCTATTAATCCTATATTATCTGCATACATCAATGCTGGTAATGACTGTTCTATGTGTTTTCCTTGCTTGGCAAAAAAGAGGCTGAATCCGAGTCGACTCCCCTCTAATTTGGCTTCTAGTCCCTGTAGATACAGCAAAAATAACAAAGGTGACAAGGGACATCCCATTCACTTTTTTTTTACTGGGGTTAACAAGAACCACTAGCTTTACAAAGCTATTAATTGCCATTACATCCATGCAGCAAATGACTGTACTGACAAAAGTATCTATAGATGATGGTAATCTTGTCACAAAAGTATTGATATAAATAATGCACTGCTATTGAGGCTTTTCTCTTTTTTTGGCACAGCCAAATCAAAATGGGCCAATTACTGCATGATGTGTCTAAAAGAGTCAAGTACTGAATGCTGGCGATAGTGAGCTTTATATGAATTAACTGCAACATTGTCCTGAATACCGGTGATTGTGAGCTATATACGAAATAACTGAAACATTGCTTTGCGGCAATAGTGACATCAGTGCACTGACACAAAAATTGCTAGAGAAGGTGCAGCCATAGTGTCATCAGCAAGCAGCTGCATTTTTCTCAGTTTAGCTTAATATTGATTTGGCCTGTTTTGAAAAAAGAAAAAAAGAAAAAGTACTTGCTCATGTGGTTATGCTGCAGGAAGAACAATGTATCAAAGAGGACTCTGTGCTGTGCAGGTGGGTATCAACATATATTTTGCTAGGACTAGGCTTCAGCAACATTAAACCTAGATAAACATATGAATAAGAAGTGTGTTGGCCAGGTTCAGTATTGAAGGTAATGTATTTTAGCTGAAAAGTCCCGCAGTGTTCTCTGATGCATGAGGCAGTGGGTGTGGCATTTGATTAACCATGTGGGCTTGCTCTTGTTGCAGCAAGCAGAAGAAGTCACGAAGTGGCAGCTTCTCTGCCAGTTCCTCACGATCCCGCAGTCGGTGAGTCACATTCTCTCTCTCCCTCTTTTTTTCAGTCTCTCCTGCTTTGCTGTTAATGTCTGCGCATGATTTTATATTGAGGGTACACACTTCAGTGTATTAGCTGCGGCAGGTGGCTGCAGGTGTGAGATCCAGCCCTAGTTATATGTACACTCAAACCTCGATTTAACGAACATGGATAGAACGAATTATTGGCTGTAACAAAGTAAAGTTTTATCACAGATACTGCGTTCAGGGTGTGTACAGGTCTTTGAAAACCTTGAAAACCCTTGAATTTAAACAATGCATTTTCAAGGCCCTTGAAAGTTGTAGAATTTTTTCACACATTTGAAAATCCTTGAATTTCCTGAGCACTCCTAATTGACATTGTGGCCTCCTTTATGTTGTAGATCAGCATACCTGCAAGTCCCCCAGATTTCGGCCAGTTTTTATGTTCGTACGGTTGTCACAAAAATTTCCCGAAAATTGAAATCTATCCGTGATCTGGCCGCATTGACAAAAATGCAGCCAAATACAATCCGGGGTTTCTGCGAGCCCTGCGCTTTCCCAGCAGTTGGCTGCACTGTCCTGTCCATTCACATGTTTCTCACAAATACATACACGAGTTCTTTTAACAGAGATAGATTTTTGCTTGTTGTTTTGATGTTGCGAAAATTTGAGAGATACAAGTATGTTCACCCCCCCCCCCCCCCCCCCCTTTGAGACTCGCATTTTTTAATGTAGTTGGAAAACCCAACCCTGCAAGTATGGATCAGCATCGACTTGACAAACTCCCCATTTCCGAAACAGTAATTTTGCGTGAGTTGATAAGGTTTCATTTTCCAAAACTGTGTAGGGAATATTTTTACTGTGTCAAACCACAAAGAAACGAAGAGAGAGACTCTTAATGCTTTTCGGTGCATGCTCCTTCCCTATTATGCAAGCAGTGAAGTTAGTGAGCTAGAGTGCAGGCTAGGCATGTTCGTTATAATTGCAATATGCATGTACGTCATAAGTGCAATAAATATGAGTCAATTTTAAAAACCTTAAAGTAAGAAAATTTCAGCATTGCGTGCCGCTTTTAGTCCTTAAAAAAACCTGTGACGGGTCCTAGAAAGTCCTTGAATATCCTTGAATTTTCGCTTTGGAAACCTGTACAAACCCTGAGTTTTACAGATAAATGTTTGTAACGAATGTTTGGATATATAGTTTTTTCTCGTTAATTTGAACTCAAAGGGACCTCTGAATTTTGTTTGAATTATCAAGAAGTTTGAATTATGAGAAGTTCTCAGATATATGACTGTGAGTGAGATTACACCACACATTATGATTAGGCATTGATTTTATCAGATTTGAAAACTTTTTAAGCATTTTAAAACCCTAACTGCATGCAATGAACAGAAAGGAAAGGTGTAAGGTGCACAACTTGATTAACCATTTACTACTGATCAGAACTTGAAAAAAAATGGTGAATCGCCAACTGCTTCTTTGCTATATATGCCTTCAGCACAAAGCTCTCTATACCAGTTGAGAAGCATCATGGTTTACCATGCATGTGCTTTGTTTCTAACATTTGTTTACTAGCAAAGCCTTTTTTCTTGAAGGCCTGAGGTGCTAATTTTTTCATTTTTAGACTTAATATTATATAAAGCACAAATTATTAAATAGTAGTGGGAAAGCAGCAGACATTTTCTGGTATGGAACTGCGAAAAGTATGAATTAACCATATTATGGAGTTTGAATTAAGGGGATTATAAATACACTGAAAGAAGAGAGGGCCAACCAAAAAATTTAGTTTTATTTGAATTAACTGAAAGTATGCATTATCATAGTTTGAATTATCGTGAATCTACTGTAGTGAAGTTATTTGGGAGCAGATGTGAATGTTATAATGAGGTTTGAGTGTAGTTAATACCGTATATACTCGCATAATCATCGCACTTTTTTTGGCGGAAAACCAATGCAAAGTTGGGGTGTGCAAGAATTACGAGGGGAAAAATCTCTACGAAAACGTACAGAGCGAAAAAGAAAACGAAGTGGCCGCAAATCTGGATTCTCACACCAGCAACTAACAGCAAGCTTTGAGAAGTACTAATTAAAACTTACCTCAACAATAAAAGCACAGGTTCAACACAAGGCAAAATTTATTTGAGACACTAAAAGTGCAAGCAAATAGTCGAGAATTAGAATACCATATGCAAAGCTTGTGGCTGTTGCGGGCATAGCGGTAGCATTTGACGCTCAACAGGAGCCCTCAAAATATAAGTATAGGGCGTCAGTATTGGGCTGATGGCTATTTACCAAACCGTCCGCAGTTTCCTTCTGAAGAAATAAAGTTTACCATCAATCCCAGTTTTAGGCACACGGCAGGCCAAACGAGTTTTGGTGGCTTTCAGCTGCCGTCAGCAGTCGCAAACACAAAACTCGTAGACTCCGAAGGGCCTACCAGTGGCCCTGTTGCTGTTGTTTAGTGCATGATCTATCGCTTTCAACTTGGAAAGCAGCCATGTAGCTTCAGTATCGCCCCATAACGTGACAAGATTACTGACACAACATACAAAACACGCCGCGACGCGCAGTTGCCGCTCTTTGGCTTGGCTTGGATTTCATTGAATCTCCATGCAATAATAGTACGCTTGATGCTTAACAGATGGCGCATGCTACCATCATCAGTGGCTGGAATGAGCAGATGACATTATTGCGGCAGTTTTCGGGGGTGCAATAATTACTCGAGGAAAGAAATAAATCTTATTTTTGTTGGTCGATATGGGGGGTACGAGAATTATGCGAGTATTACGTGAGTAAATACGGTAGTACTAGGAAGGTTCTGATGGTGACTGTAAACGTGCGGAACGTATGCAAAGCATACGTTTTCCTTTCATATCATGCATGTAAGCATGTGCGTTGTTTGATTTATTGAATAATGCTGATTATTGCTAATTTGGTACAAAGTTTTGAGCTATATGATAAATGGTTTGTTATGTTTCCTTTTCTTTTTTAGGAAAACAATTTTATCTAAGGGAGGGAGACTTGAAACAAAGAAACGTTTCATGGCCACGTAAGCTGCAGCAAATTTTGGGTGTATTGTGTTGGTTGAAACACATGTTAAAAGGTTTGCCTAAATATGTTAATTTGTTAGTTTTGAAAGTATCGAAAGCCAATTTGGGAGGATACAAGGGAGAGGGCAGACTGCAGCATGTTAGCGATATAAAATTCATGAAAAAAATTGCTACTAAGTAACAGTCACACATCACAGGAACTGAATGTAAAAAAGGGGGGTGGGTGGGTATTAGGAGGTGGTAGACAAAATTACTGCACTGTCATTGGAAGTGACCTGTTAAATACACTCAATCCTGGATATATCAAACTCACTTTCCTCTATTTCCTAGCATGTCTCAGAAATCTGCATGCTGAAGCTATGCACTCAATGTATCTGTATTCAGCCTACTCCTGTTCACTAACACTATCGATGAGCTGCATCGCATAACACTGCTGCTTCTTTTGCTGATGGGTCTGCAGTTACCTTCACTGGCAGAAATATTCACTATGCACCAAAGTAGCTTAGTGGTCAAGATGTTGTACTGCTAAGCTTGAGAATGCAGTTTCAATGCCCCGCCACAATGGCCACCTTATACGGGATCAAAATGCAAGAACACCGAAGTACTTAGAGTTAATGTGCTGTCTGTTAAGGGGGGATGCTACACCTTCCAAAAACTCTTTTATTTTTGCGAGTACCTCAGTCAAATTTGGAGAGCCTATGTAGATTTTACTGCTGATTTCAAAAATCTAATTCTTTTTTTGCTGTGGCAATTAGTTTTAAAGACATAATGAACTGCGACTTTTTCAATTGAGGCCTAATTAGCTAATTAACTGTAACTTGGATATTGATGTGCAACCTATAGAACCAATTCGGTATGTTCACAGTGTGCAATAAAGTATAAATCATTGTTCTGGGCTATTTCGAAGCAAAGTTGTGGGATGTTGAATATGACATGAAAAATTTCCCCATCTACACTTGAAACAAAAGATCCATTTAGAGAATTTTCTCCAAAAATTATTACAATAAAACTTACTTTACGACACATCCCCCGCATTTATTTTCGAAACAAAAAATAAATCGTAATGATAACCCAGATAGAACAAGAGATATTGCTCCGGCATAATGGGAAGCACATGAAAATTGTCGTTTTGAGAAATCGAGAAAAAACGTGGGCACACATTTTTATTGCAGAAGATGCAACAAGACAACCTCAAAACGCACCAGAAGCATAGTCTGAATGCATTCTGTGCTCATGCCTCCTCTTCACTAGCTTCCGGAGTTCCAATGAGGCTGTTCTTTTCTTGTTGGAGACAATGCTGCGACGGTGGTCTTTTCTCTCGCTCTCCTGGCACCAGTACTTGTCGCATTCATGTCCATTTCACCTAAGATTGCCGTTGCAGAATTCAAATTGCCCGTGTTAAAGCGCAGCACTGCTTCTGCAACAGCTGCTTCAACAGCGAACAGGGACGCATGGTGCTCCTTGGGGGCCAAACTCCAGATTACCGAATGTAGGCTCTCGTTGGAGTTCTGCGTTTTGCCGCGTTCGCACCTCTGAAGCAGGGCTCTTTCCGAAAGCCGGGTATAAACCGGTAGTAATGTCTCTGCCACGTCTTTCGGTAGATTGTAGGCATGCCTGGGGTCGGGCTCACCCTTTGCTTTTGCGGCATTGTGCCGACACCATGAAGTTTCACCAGTTGGGCACAGACTGTGGTCCGAGCATTCATCAGTGGAGGTGACGTGGCGGTATGTGGCCATCACAGCCTTTTGCATCTCGCCCACGTCACCTTCATGCGATTTCAGAGCCCGGCCATAATATGTGCTCAGCCTGGTGATCAGCTCACCTGTGAGCCTGCCTTTCCCACCAAGGCCTCTTTTCCCATCGCGCTTTTGTTTCTGCACCAGGTTTCTCAATGCGGTGCCCATCCGTTTCTGTACATGATTAATACAGTCTTCCTTCTGCACGTCAATGTAACCATACACCTTGGCGTCTTGTATGGCGCAAAATGTCCTAGAGTCTCCATCAGACAGCATAGTTGTGTAGCGCAGGCCATGGCGTTCAAGTGACCTCTGAAATAGAATTAGAGCCGCCTCCACTTCCATTTGCCCCGCTTTGCTGTTCGTATTTTTTTGGCATTTGTGGTTAGCCTTCCATTCTTGATAGCCCTCACTACTAGGCTTTGGGCCCACCTCGCAGCCTAGGCAAAAGTTGGAAAGAACGACGTAGTCCAACACGTAGCCACTAAATAATTCGATAACTGTGCCCACGCCGATGTAGGAAGAATGGCCTCGCGTCTTCCACGTGCCGTCGTAGCTAACGGCAATATTGCCCCGGTGGCCGAAGCACAAGTCATCATAAATTGTTCTAACCTTTTCTGCACATTCGCTCATAGCGGACTCAGCCGCTCGCGTTGCAGCGGGTGCCAGCGTGTTCTTCAAATGCCGCTGAAACGTCTTGTGGTGCATACCGCGGTGTGAGATGCCCATTGTTGCGAAAATATCGTTCATTTTCGTTTGGGCCGTTGCCGGTAGCCACCATCGCCCTCGAAGCGAGAAGATTTACTTCAAACGGATTGCACGTTTTCGTGCCGTTCGCGCGGGGCGAAGTCCATTCATTCGCGATTTCGCCGCACCTTTCACACTGCACTAGCACTTTCACGGCAAGTCCGTAGTCCCGATCCCCTCTGACGATCGTAGCCGGTCCGTGGCAGGCTTTGCAACACAAGGCACCCATTATCGCGTTTAGGATATCTAGATGCATAAGCAGACAAGGAGCAGCGTGGTCCGAGTCCTGTGCGGTTGCCTCGCTACAACTCGCGGTGAAAAAGTCAATTTTCCGTGCAGTTGCTGGCGCCGATGAAAGCCGGTCGAGCGTCGCTTTCTCCCGGGCATGATTTTCTTCAACTTCGGCGTTTGTCACCACCTTGGCGTCGATTCGTAGTCGTACGGAGTTCGCTTCACCGTCATCGTCGTCGGAGGCAACGCGCTCGGTCGCACCATCGCTGAACGGCCGCAGAGCGTTGACACATCGTTCGTCGGAGTCAACCAAGGGCTCTGATGACTTCGTAGTTTCTCCCACGACCTTTGCGTTTCCTGCGACCAAATGCGTGCACGGTCCGATACTTTTTTGCGTTTCCAGGCATGGCGATACGATCAGAAGCTTCAGAGTGCTCTGCCGATTTCGAGGCGTCACAACGGTAACCCTTTCAAAATGGCGTCGGGTCGCGTATGCAGGCGCAAGCCGCGAGCTTCCAGCCAACCGGAAAGCGCCATTTCAGTCACGTGCGCCGTTTAGCCAATGGCAGTGAGCGCGGCTCTTCGTCTTTGAGGCCCCGTTTTTCGAGCCGGGGAAACACTCAATGTTGCTTACTGAATAAAAAAAACAGCTGAAAACGCGTTCTTTCAAACAAGACTAAAATGGCGCCGATCGAGCGCGTAGTTCCCGCGTATCGTAGAGCCGAAACCTGCGCTATTCGCCCTCAATTTAAAGGGCAGGACGCCCGTTTTGGGTTTTTTAGAGTTGAATAACGATAAAAGTTGATGGTATTCGGCTATAAAATTTTGTAAATAGGTGCGCAATGATGTCGGGAACGCGAAAAGAAGGTCCGCGAAAACTCGATTTTTTGGCTGATTTTCGGTCCCGAAGTGCCGCGTCCCCCCTTAAGGAACCACAGGCAGTCAAAATTAGGTCAGAGGGCTCAACTAAGGCATTCGTCTGAATGGTACTATAATGTTGACATTCAAAACCCCAAAATGTCATTTTGTGTAAAAAAGAATATTGAATGCCATTAAAAAACCACTGTTTCAGCAGTTTCAGCAAACAAGACAGTTTACAGTTGAATACCTTTATAAGAGCCATGCTCTGGGCAGGAAATCTTGTCTTTTATATGAGATGTCTCTTATAAGCACAGTACCATGTAAGCGTTTTCCTATCAACCCGTATTTTACTTTAGGCACACTGGTGTCTTCTATACCCATTTGTCTTTTATATCAGTGTCTCTTATAAAGTGTTTCGATTGTATATTTCAAGGGTTGTATATTTCGTACAAAAAAAAAAACTGAGCTAGGTTCGTCTTTATTTATCATCCTGCAAGTTTGATGTTCATCACAGTTGTTTAGCAGCAAAAGTTCAGCATACTACTGTAACATGAAATATGTCCCAGTTCAGTAAGTGTTTCATGAGAAAATGGGTTGGTTGCATGGTGCATGCGGCTTTTGACTTTGTGGGCAAGTCTGTAAGTTCTATAGTTTTTCCTAATCTGTGTGAGCCGTGCAGTGTTTACTGATAGCCACATTTCATTATGATAAGTTACCCGTGTGTATCCAGGATTGAGTGTATAAACATTACCTAAAACATTGACAGTATAGCTGGCTTTTGAGCTATCTATATGCAGTGAAATCTCGATACAATGAATCTCAAAAGACGACTAAAAACCATTTGTTGATTTGAAAAGTTGTATTGAAAGTATTAGAAGTTTTTGCTAAAATCGTGAATATTAACAGAGCCTATCTTTGTTGTGCCTCTAATAAGCATGAAAAAAACAAAACAAAATATTACGGAACCAGTGCAGGAAGAGCACAGCCTTTTCTGATGTGGGCAGCTCGACTGCTGAAAAATGAACTCTTAAGTGTGCGCATCCTTCTTAACTCTTTCGCTACAGACCCATAGGCCATCAGACATGGAGTTCCGGTGATTTAAGGTCTCCTGCAAAAATTGAAAACTCGCGTTTTACGGACATGTAACACCATCTAGCCTAAGCTTGGGCAACCAACTTTCCACTTTCACTTCTTTTTGTTTACGTTTCGCCCGCCGAGCCGCTCTCGCGTGCGCACTTTGAACGAAATGCGGTTTCATTTTATGTGAGAATGGCCGCCCTTCCTCACCGCGCGCTGCGGCAGCCAATTGTTGTTGCAAGCACTTCAGCCAGACGCCTCAGACTTCGACAAGTACTACCAGGTAAGTTTCGTTTTTGACTTTGCGCTGCATATAAAGAAAAAACAGACTTGATATTTGACGACAA